CACACACACACACACACACACACACACACACACACACACACACACACACACAATGGATTTGATTATGGAAACAAAAAACATTTTCATATTGCAAATAAAGCAATCATATTAAAAATCAGRTATTCATGTTAAAATGWTGGTTCCACTTGCATCCATAGTGCGATCAGATTAAAKGCCTCCAAACCGAGCTCTCAGGCTGAATTTAAACCTCAGCCTCTCCTGACCTTGAGTGAAAATGTCTGACTTATCATGTGACATTTTTGACTGAACATAAATCATAAAATGCTCTTCATAGAATTCAACAGGTACTCTAAACATAACATCTGAAGATGTTTAATACTGACGTATCTAACACGTCTATAAAATGGTCATTACAGTTATTCCCCCCGGTCCCGTCCYGTCCCATCCCGATCTCACTCTTAGGTTTTTTGAAAAGTTGGCAGCCCTGGTTGATATGTTTCTAACTTCCTGTTCTGTTTTTATTCAGGGGTCCTAATCGCCTGAAGCCATTCAAGTACAACCATCCTCAGGGTTTCTTCAGTCACCGTTAAACCTCTGTGTACTAGTCCTTTTCACTTCTTTACTGTTATTTGATACACAAAGACACCCTTTTTACAAGTTTAGAAAATAAAAACACTTTTTCTTCACAAATTGTGTCAGTTTTGTCTGTGACTGAAGTGTACAGATGTTATGAAAACCATATTTCTTTTGTTGAAACACTTTTCTATCCTCCCTAACCTCCTTCTGAGCTGCTCTATTTATAGACCTTTGTTGCTGATTGTTATTCCTGTGGTTCAGTGCAGGAGTGAGCTGAGTCATTTCCACAGAGAATCATGCCTGCAGCCTGAGGAATAAAATATTTTATTGTTTATTGTGGGCAGTTAGCCTTTGACCTCTCTTTTAGTGTCATCCTGGTTTCCATAACATAATGAGGTGTCATTGACATCACTGTCAATCATGATTAAAGTTAAGTCCAGCAGCAGGATATAAAAACACTAAAGAGTTTAATATTTTATTAATTTGGGACAAAAAGAGGTCTGAAGATTATATTTCATAAATGAGATGAATGATTTATATTTGCAGATAAAATCTGCTCAGCAGACTGAGATCCTTCTGTTCAGTAAAACCAAGCTGAAGGTAATGATCTAACAACTGAATTTAAGTAAAGTGTTGAGGTTTTAATAGTTCAGATGCTCGTGAGTGGTCACAAATTATGAAAACGTGTGATTTTACTTGCAGTTAACTATTTTTAAATATAAGATAGAARCGTTAACAACTAAACTTCAGCTACTGTATATATGAAAGCAGCAGTAAAGTCACTTGTAACTTGGGCTTTGTGTTTTACACTGCAGCTGCTGAATAAAGCTGAGGAAGGCAATTCTTTAGCATTTCTGGGCAAAAAAGAAAAAAAACAGCCTATTGTATTCTCACTGCTGTGTCTACTTTTTACCTTGTATTGRTTTGTTCACATCATTAGACACGTGTGTGATCTATTTTAAGTTGCTGTGTTTCAGATTGGACAGCAGTGCTTCATTTGTGCTTATAATTGTGGAAACCATATGAATCAAAGAGCAAAATGTGTTTTAGTGGGTGAAAATAGGTCTACAAGATGTGTCTAACTGGGTAAAATGTGCTTTGTGTTCTGACAAAAGAGTGGCCATTTTAATAACTGGGTTCAGGGAACTCAGCATTTGGTTCAAGCAACAGGGTTTGGTGTTTTATCAACTGAGAAAAACTAACACAAAGAACAGCTGAAGCTAAATGATGGGTTAAACAAACGCATATATGACAGTGAGTTCAGTCTCACCACTAGTGATCAATTTTAGTGAATGCTGCATTCAGGAAAAACCTGCTTAATGGYGGAGAAAACTGCAGTTTTATTTTAGTTTAAAGAATTTTTGTGTTCTACAGCTTGGCCCAATCAGATTAGAGATGCCAGATTATATTCTTCAGAYAAAGTGTGCTCAGTGTGAAGATCCCTGAGCAAACAGGTTTGTCTGCTCACTTTATCACAACAGTATTTACTTGACCTTGCCTTGTAGAACAGTGTTTGGAATGGATTTTGATGTTTTCAGCTCTTGAACAATAAAAAAACAAACTCATCCTGCACGTCCTTAAAGTGGCTCTTTAATGTGGATAAAAAAAATGTTCAAATATTTTTTTTAATTAACACCCAGAGAAATGATCAACAACTCCCCTAACTAATGAAAGTAGAGATTGTTGTCAAACGGTTAAAAATAATCTATGACAATAAAACATGATTTTCTCTATCCGGTGTTTCACAAATAGATATCAAGTCTTTTGTCTTTSCACATTTTATAAATAACTTAAAGATGTTCCTTCACCTAAAGTGGATCTGAGCCTGATGGGTGCAGGAGAACATGGCTCTGATTTATACATGAATGTGATTTGCTGGAAGGGTGCAGTGGAAGCTGGGGGGGGGGGGGGGGGCACAGCTCCCCCTCTCTTTAGCCGCAATGCAGTGCAGTAACTCGCAGCATTTACCTTTTCGCTCTCACACCTTGGAGGAGTGTTTATAACTCACGCCCCTAAAGGGTTAAAGTTGCTATGTTGGATGTTAGAAAGACGCCACACAGCTTCGGTGTTAATTTTTTTCAATAATTTTTATTTTTACTGTTTCATATTGCATATTCTCAGCAKTTTATACAGAGCACAGTCATCATTGCCCTAGCATTGCAGAGTGAAAGAGTGAGAGACCACAGTTCACCTGTCAGGAGAAGCTGCATTAAGGTGCACAACGAGCAAAATTCAAGTCTTCCTTACATGTTTATCTGTAAATATACTATAGACACTTCTGTTTCAATAAATAAACATACTTCAGGATTCAATATTTGTCACAATCGTTTAGCTTGACGCGGTTTCCGACACCTCTGCCCTTGAAGGCCATCGTGCGCTGAGCAGCAGGACCCTGCCGGCTCCTTCAGGATTCGGATTTAAATGCACTTGTTATTCATTAAGGGCAGTCGTCACATTCAGATAAAGAGTGTAGAGCATTCTGCATTCACTACAGTCATACATCGGAAGCTTCGGGGGTCTGTGACGGCCATATTTGGGAAGCAGGGGGGTGGGGGGTGGAGTTATTTGCTACAAGGGATCAATATTGCTTACATACTGTGACCTGCTTTGCTTTGGACATTAAATGGTGTGGACAGCTCCTCCCATGCCTTCATGGGACCTCCCTCACAGTTCTTTGGCATCTTCTTTTCCTCGCCCCCACACACACCCCCAAGTTCAACTCTGTCTTACTTCTTGGCCTTTTCCTCCTTACTCTCCTTTGTCTCGGTGCCAGAGGATTTTTCAGCTTTCTCTGTTGTTGCTCCTTCCTTTACGTCTTTACTCGTCTCCTTCTTCTCCTCGGGCTTCTTCTCCTCCTTTTTGCTCTCTGGTTTTTCCGGCTCTGCTTTGGGAGCAGCGGGCTTCTCCTCGGGCTTCTTGTCTTCCTTCTTGCTCTCGGGTTTTTCGGKTTCAGCTTTGGCAGCGGCCTTCGCCTCGGGCTCAGCCTTCTCCGGTTTGGGGGCGGACGGCTTCTCCTCTTTGGCAGGGGGAGCGCTCTCTTTGGGCTCAGCCTTGGGAGCGGGTTTGTCCTCGGAGGGTTTGCTCGGAGTTGCGGGTTTTGGGGCTTCTTCCTTTTTGGGTGCTTCTTTTGCTTTGCTCTCCTTCTTTGGCTCAGGCTTGTCCACCTTCTCTGGCTCCTTCTCCTTTGGTTCCTGCTTCTTCTCTTCTTTCACRGGTTGCTCTTTCTCTTTCTCCTCTTTGACTGGCTGAGGCTTCTCCTCCTTCTTCTCCTCCTTGGGGGTGTCTTTGGCAGCAGGAGGCTCGGCTTTCTCTTTTTCTGGAGATTTGGGTTCAGGACTCTTGGGTGCAGGAGATTTAGATTCAGGAGATTTGGGAGCAGGAGATTTGGGAGCAGGGGACTTTGATTCAGGAGATTTGGGTTCAGGAGATTTGGGAGCAGGGGACTTTGATTCAGGAGATTTGGGTTCAGGAGATTTGGGAGCAGGGGACTTTGATTCAGGAGATTTGGGTTCAGGAGACTTGGACTCAACTCCTGCGGGGGACTTGGCTGCTGGTGATTTAGGCTCTGGTGATTTAAGGACAGGAGACTTRGGAGGAGAGGATTCATCTTTTTCTTCATCAGCTTTCTCCTCTTCGTCCTTTTGTTCCTCCACTTTCTCCTCTTCTCCTTCCTCCCCCTCTTCTTTGGCTTCTTCACCTTCCTTTTCTTCCTCTCCTTCTTCCTCGTCGTCTTTCTTTTCCTCCTCTTCCTCCTCCTCCTCGTCAGCCTCCTCTGTCACCTCCGTCACCTGGGTCTCATCGGTCTGCTCCTCCACGATGACGGTGTCTGAGATCTCCTCACTCTTCACCTTCATGTGGCCTGAAATCCTGGCTTCCAAGTAGGAGTACGGTGTTCCACCGGACACTAAACGATTCTCCTCTCCCTCCAGCAGCTTCCTGTTTTTCAAAGACACACCCCGTGACAAGTGTTAGGAACGTTTTTGCTTTAAAATCTAAAAAGAAGAGTTGGATCTCTGAGTGTTTTCAGACCAACCTGTAAGCGGCAATCTCAATATCCAAAGCCATCTTCACATTCAGCAGCTCCTGGTAGTCTCTCAGCTGGCTCGCCATCTCCCATTTGGTGGTTTTCAGCTCATTTTCAAGCTGGTTGATGGTCTCCTGTGAAACAGGAAGATGAAACGTGGCAGGTCAAGTGTCACGCTGAGAAAAATAAAAGACTTTTGGAAACATCTGCAACAAAGCCCTGCCTGTAGGGAGTTCAGGTCGTCCTGGTGTCTGTCCTCACTGTCCATCCTCTGCCTCTCCAGCGAGTCCTTGGTTCCTCGAAGGGTCTCCAGCTCGATGGTGCGGCTCTGGAGCTGCCGGCGGTATTCGGCGATCTCCTCCTGGTTCCCACGGATCGCGTCCTGGTTGGACTTGGCAGCTTCAGACAGGTGCTCCATACGCACTGCAGAGAGGAGAAGAGAAAAGCACGCAGCATTTCAAGCGTCGCCTTTTGCGGTGTCGTGCAACAAATCGCCTGCGCTGGGTGAGATGTTAAAACTGTTTCAGGGTTTGTGCGCACGAACGCAACTTTCTATGTGGACTCAGAGGGCGCAGACAGCCACCCCTGGGAGCTCGGGTAACCTTGACRCTGTCTGTCTGTCAGCTGCTCTGACTCAGCTTCCTCCCTCGCCTCGGTCGTGATTGAGACGCTGCTGCAGTCAGTCGGACACAGAGGTCATTCACACACCGCAGGAGGAAACTACATTAACTGTGTTTAACTGTTTGCATTTATAAAGGTCAGAAGCACCGCAGGCGTCTCCTTCTAACGTAGAGCTGCAGTGAAGTGGGAATTTATGGTTTGCTGTAGACCATCCATCATTTCCACAACGGGAGATGGATGTTCAAGCAGGAAAACAAAGGTTTCATCTTGTCTTTATGACATCCACAGTGTCCTTGAGGAGTGTTCTTTATTGTGGAGGCTCAATGTAACCCCCCCACCCCCACCCCCTGTCCAAAGTGCAGATTAGTCAAAGTGTCTCAGCCTGCAGAGCTTCAGTGATGATCAGTCTGCAGCACAGAAACTTGAGGGTGTTTCATAAACTTTCCATCAGTTAAAGTCTCAGTGGTGAAGCTGACAGCAGCACAATTACGATTTTATTCTTTAGATTGAATAAATGTTTATGAAAGGAGCAGCAGATTTCAGCACCATGGACAGAGATCTGTTCGAGACCACTCACCTTTGAACCACTCCTCCGCGTGCGTGGAGCTCTTTGAAGCGTGGCAGTCCAGCTGCGCGCGGATCTCCCGCAGCGCGCCGGTCACGTCCGACTTCAGCGTGTCCCTCAGGTCGAAGCTCACCTGCGCGCCGTGGATCTGCGCCAGGAGCTCGGCCACCTCCTCCTCGTGGTTCTTCCTCAGGAAGGCGGCCTCCTCCTCCAGCGCCTGCAGCTTCTTGTCGAGCTCCAGCCGCGCCAGGCGGCACTCCTCCTCGTACTTCTTCATGGCCCGGGTGGCGGCCTCCAGCTCGTCGCGGCTGCGCGCCTCGTCCTCCAGCCGGACCCGCAGCTGCTGCACGTCCTCCTCCAGGTGCTCGCGCTCCAGGGCGGCGCGGGTCTTCTCCCCGGTCAGCTGCTGCAGGAGACCCCGCAGGTCGCCCAGCTCGCGCTCGTAGTGCTCCCCGATGGAGACGCGCCCCGCCTGGCTCTGCCGCAGCGCCGCCGCCTCGGCCTCCAGGTTGCGGTTGTGCATCTCCAGGTTGCGCACCTTGTCGATGTAGCCGGCGAAGCGGTCGTTGAGAGCCTGCAGGACCTCCTTCTCGCTCCTCCGCGCCATGCCGTCCSCGCTGAAGGTCTCCAGGCTGTCGGCCGAGGACGGCTGGCTGTAGGCGAGGCGGCGGCGCTGGGAGTGGAAGCCGCTGGAGGAGACGGAGGCGGGCCGAGCCTTGCGGTACGAACCCGGGCCCATGAAGTGGTGGTCCAGCGTGAAACTCATGTTTGCTGGGCCGGAGGAGAGGGGGAGAAGTGACTGCAGCAGGAGGGAGAACGCCGGGTTTATATAGGAGGGAGGGAAAACCCTGAAGTCAGCAGCAGGACTGGCTGAGGTTTTTTTTTTTTTTTTTTAAAGAGACACCTTTTCTTCAGCAAACTGATGCCTGCGCAGGAATCTTCACAGTGATGAGTTCTGGTTTAACTCAGGATGCTGAAACGACAACGCTTTATATTTGGCTTTTTTTTTTTTTTGCTCAAACATCATCTGCACGTGCACAACAAACACTTCATATCGATAAAGACATTTTGTGAAAAGTGTCAAACTCTTGCATTTTTTTTCTTAATTAGTATTTCACATTTTTAAATAAAAGATGCAACGACATATTTTACTTCTGCTGAGAGTAAAGTCTTTTTGAACTAGATATGTGGGGGTTTGGTGTGTTTCTGCTGATGTTTCACTGCTGCAGTGTGAGTTTGCAGATCATCTCTCCTGGGGTTCACCTCAGCTGCTGGGCCTTCCACACAGCCAGCAAACACAAAACACTTTTCTGTTTTAATCCTAAATCTTTTGAAGCTCACCCCGTTTCTGTTGGACGGTGTGTTTCAGAAAAAGCTGCTTCATGGTGTGTGTTGCAGCATTAACACTGAACTGTCTCTGCTGATGATGTACATGTCTGCTCTGAGAACAGGCCTGTCTCTGAAGAAGAGATATTGATTACTCAGGGTGAGAGAGTTCACACAGCATCATTTAACCCTTGTGTTGTCTTGCAGGTCAAAAGTGACCCACTACTGCGTTTAGCTGTAGACAAAATACCTTAAACTTTATTTTCCAAAACAATTTTATGACTTTTCCTAAACGGACCCCATTTGGGCTGTACACCACTAGGGTCCAAAGATTGTCTTATGGGTCATTTTTGACCCTTGAATTATAAAAGCATTTAAACACAGGAAAAAAGTTTAAAAGCCACACACAAACTCTTTATAACACACACTCAGAAGACCTCTCCCCCCACCCACACACACAGTTTGTTTTTATATCCCTGTAGGGACCATGGCTTGACTTCCATTCATTTTCGGGTAATGTTATAGCCTAACCCTGATCATTTACCCTAAAATTAACCTCACAGGTACCTACCTCAGTGTTTCCCAAAGTTGGGGTCAGAACCCAATATCAAGGTGGGGTCCTGAAAAGATTTTCGGAATCAATTACATTTTTGCCTTAGTTGTTACAAAGGAGTGAGGTTATAAATGTAGTATAAAAATATTGTTATTATGCCCATGTTTAGTTGACCTGATACAAATGTTTATCATCCAAAAATAGTTGGGGGTCTCAGGTCTCTGCTACTGTTATTTTGTGGGTCAAAAGCTGAAAAGTTTGGGAACCACTGCACTTTGGTTCCCAAAGTTGGGCTTTGACCCAATTATGGGTCATGAAGCACCTTGGATAATCTCCAGAAATCAATTTAAAGGGTAATAAAATAATTGCTGATGTAACATCTTCCCTATAATTATTACAAAGACACAAAATAAGTATAAATAAGTATTTATATTTGTGTACAAGCTGTTTAGATTGTCAAAAAGCCTGTGTTTATAGGGTTATTAACGGAGTTTGTGTACTCAAACCACTAATATTTGGGGTCACAAGCTTTTGCCATGGATGTTTTGTGGGTCAGAAGATAAAAAGTTTGGGAACCACTGACCTACCTGACCACTAATTTAAATTCAATATACACCTTGGTCCTAAACCAAACCACCCCCCACCCAAAATTAGCATCCATAACCGTACCCTCGGTCCCCACGAGGCTGCCTTTTTCTGGAAAATGGTTTCCATGATGTAGCAAAAACGTGCCCACAC